AGCTATGATAATATTTATTAACGGTGGCAATGAAGACCGCATTTGTCAAACGGCCATATTCTCTTAACTATGTAGATTGTCTCCCCTTGGGCTTCAACCCTGGGAGATACATTTACCCCAAAATAGCGTCTGTATATTGACAGTTTGATTCCTTAGCCGCGGGTCAGAGGTCGTCATGGAAACTGCAAGCATAAGTTAGAACTCATAAACTATGCTCATATTAACCTTTTTAGTTTGCTTTTACTGCCCCAGGCATAATAGGGGCATACCGTACTCCGTCCATACGTTTGTATTTCATGATTTTCTTATTATTTTTCATAATGACATATTCATCTTCATCCCTTCTTTATGATCCAGGATCGCAATATACCTAAACGCAAAGTAATAAAATCATACGATGTATATGAATCCATACAGGCTTTTGTTTATGACGACCCACATGAAAATGCATGACGATAAATCTTTCACAGAATTGGATAACTTAAAGATTCCATAAAAGCAGTCACTATCATGGAGCACTGTGGTCATGCTTTTTTTTCTACACCATCAGCCAGCTAACAGCTGGTATAATCAGAGCTTGTCGCATTACCCTAATTAGCAAACGCCAGTTGTTCATATAGCTTGGTAATCGAATACGACATTGTTGTGTTTTAATCAAAGCCATTAAATATGTCCGAGGAAAGTAGCATCTGGTCAGGTTGGTCTGGTAAATACCCCGATGCATGTTTGTGCATGTGCATGCACGTGCAATGATGGACGTTCATAACTTCATTATGAAAGGTATCACATGGTTGGGAAATGATATCCTCTCATAAAAAGCATAAGCACGATGTGTTTCAATTAAGATGATGCACACAAATTGCGTTTTTTTGTGCTTTGTTTCGGTTTTTTGTTTTGTTTTTCTTGTGTTCTTTTCGGGGGTTTTTTCTTTTGTTCTTCTATCTTTACGTTTTTAGGTTTTAGGGCTATGATTTACGTTTCATGAGTCTCTCAACGACACATTCTGCAGGTTGCGGTTTGTGGGGGTGCCAATTAAACCTTACAAGCTTGTTGACTTTTAGTGAGAGTACGTTGGTTGGTATATTGTTTGTCGACAATATTCCAGTGGCGGTCTGTAAATAATCGCGATCGAGTCTGGACCAGACAATCCAATGATCAACAGCATGAGCATCGATCTACGCAGCTGGGATACGATAACATGTGTCAACTAAGCCAGCAAGTCTGACCACCCGATCCCGTTAGTCGCCTCTTACGACAAGTATGGGTTGCTGAATATCTATTCTAACCCGGAACGTCACGTTTCAGCGAGAGAGCGACCAGCAGTCGTTGGAAATAGGTGATCCGAATAACCACCGAATAAACCGCTTGAATCGTAGCATTCTCCTGAACTGAATCTTTTCACTATCTTACCCATATCTAACCATACCTGATTGACTGGCACAAAACCATTACAATCAATCAATCAATCAATCAATCTCTCTCTCTCTCTCTCTCTCTCTCTCTCTCTCTCTCTCTCTCTCTCTCTCTCTCCCTCCCTCTCTCCCTCTCTCTCTCTCTCTCTCCCCTCCTCTCTCTCTCTCTCTCTCTCTCTCTCTCTCTCTCTCTCTCTCTCTCTCTCTCTCTCTCTCTCTCTCTCTCTCTCTCTCTCTCTCTCTCTCTCTCTCTCTCTCTCCCCTTTTTTAAAACACTTAAGGAGATACGCTACTCTCTCTCTCTCTCTCTCTCTCTCTCTCTCTCCTCTTGAGATGCTCGTATAGAGTGTTATCTGTGTTTCGGGACTAGATACGTATCTGGATTACACGAATAGTCGGTTGTATTGCGTGAACAAACATATTGTATATATAGAAATGAATCTATATAACGTGAATAGCCATGAATACGTATTTTGTGACTAGAGATGAATATGTATTGCGTGAATAGACATATGAATCTGTATTACGTCAATAGACATAAATCTGAATAATACGTGAATAGACATGAATCTGTATAACGTGAATAGACATAAATCTGAATAATACGTTAATAGACATGAATCTGTATAACGTGAATAGACATGAATCTGTATAACGTGAATAGACATGAATTTGTATTATACGTGAATAGACATAAATCTGAATAATACGTTAATAGACATGAATCTGTATAACGTGAATAGACATGAATCTGTATAACGTGAATGGACATGAATTTGTATTGCGTAAATAGACATGAGTGTGTGTATAACGTGAGGTGAGGTGAGGTGAAATGGGGTTTAACGTCGTGCTTAAGATTATTTCGCTCATATGACGACGTGCATGTGTGTGTGTATGCGTGGCTGCTTGTACTAGCCCAGACTTTAGCTGGTTTTATAGTGCTAGCTCACTGAGGTATATGTAAGCATGATTACCCCACTCAGACACATTATACTGACTCCGAGCCGACCAGTCCTTGTTGTACCCATTAATGCCGAGCGCCAGGCAGGGACCAACAAGTACCATATTTTAACGTCTTTTGGTATGACGCGGCCGGGGATCGAACCCGCGACCTTCCGCTGTCCGGTCGGACGCTCTAACCTGTATAACGTCAATAGACATGAATCTGTATAACGTGAATAGATATGAATCTGTATAACTTGAATAGACATAAGTCTGTGTAACGTGAAGGGACATGAACCTGTATAACGTGAAGAGACATGAACCTGTATAACGTCAATAGAAATGAATCTGTATAACGTGAATAGACATGAACCTGTATAACGTGAATAGACATGAATCTGTATAACGTGAATAGACATAAATCAGTATAACGTGAATAGACATGAACCTGTATAACGTGAATAGACATGAATCTGTATAACGTGAATAGACATAAATCTGTATAACGTGAAGAGGCATGAACCTGTATAAGGTGAATAGACATAAATCTGTATAACGTGAATAGACATGAACCTGTATTACGTGAAGAGACATACATCTGCATAACGTGAATAGACATAAATCTGTATAACGTGAAGAGACATTATAAGTTGTATGCTTCTCTCGAGCGTAATACGGTCTGATGTACGTCTCCTCGCCGGTAGGCGAGGGATGACACTGCTACAAAGAGGCGTACATCAGACCGTATTACCCGAGGGAAAGGAAACAACATATTTATCTTACCGCCATGTTGAATGTAACAAAATATCATTAATATTTTATGTTAAAGATCGCTACCGACTATGACATGCAATTAAAATGGCGTCTGCCTCTCGACTGGATTTTTAACATCAGTGAAACATATTCTGACAAGCATAAAACTGCTATAAAAATTGTTAATTATGTTTAAGCTGAGTGTGCAAACCACTCAATGTATAAAATAGCTTAAATAAAGCAGTGAAAGTCGGTAAAATAAATCTGTACAAAGTAAACACAAAAGCAGCTGATCAAACGGTTTTCGAACTCCGGGCACGGCATGCGTCATATTATGACGTCATACGAGTGTTAGCGCTTCAGCTTCTCGGCGGAGAGCTTGGCGGTTACCGTGGCAGCGGGTAATATTTTTTCCAGTTGTCACACGGAAACTTGTTAAACCGTCATTGACCAATGCAATTAAAGTATTTTACATGACGGTAAGATAACAACCTGTATTACGTGAAGGGACATGAACCTGTATTGCGTGAATAGACATGAACCTGTATTGCGTGAATAGACATAAATCTGTATAACGTGAATAGACATGAACCTGTATTGCGTGACTAGAGATTAATATATATTGCGTGAACAGACCTGAATATGTATTGCGTTAATAGACATAAATCTGCATATAACGTGAATAGACACGAATCTGTATTACGTGAATACATATTCATCTGTTTTGTGTGTTTTGACAATTACATGTGTTGAGTAAGGACACGTGCATCTGTACTGCTAGAATATAAAGTCTTCTGTGTTGGGTTAACAGGCGGTCCTCTTGACTGCTTAAATCCGCAGTTGTCGGTGGAACGTTTTTAACGGCCATCTCTGATAAGCAACACTCCAGGCTGCGTTGATTTGTCTTCACATGGCGTTTGAATCGACATCCACTGCATGCAGCACACCTGCATCGACGACAGGTGCGGATTACCTGGCCTGTGTCCAGCAAACCAGTGGTTGATAGTGTGAGTATTCTACAACCGAATATATTTGCATGCGTGGGCTTACCTAGCTGCTCAAGAAATGTATGAACCGTTGGTATAATTCCAGTTTTGAAAACTGTTTACAGCAATGTTATTCTAGGACATCATTACGCACATTTACAAACAGACATTTTCAGGAACTGTCTTTATTCAAAGTTCGCGTACTGTAACTGACAACACTTCCATGTGTGACAAAATGCAGCCGTCTTAATTCAACTCAGAAGCCGTGTAGAGGTTCGTTGTTGCTGGTCAAAGGGAAGCAACTCCTTGCGGCCAACTCCAGTATGATGACTTAAGGGCTATTCACAGAACGATCAGCTGGTGAATTGTACATATGAATCATTGGCCAAATATTGATGCAAAAATTATCAACACTGTTATTGTTTTCTATCATAATTAAATAACGAATACAACATTCACGGGCGAAGATTTGGTTGAGGTTCTTGTGAGGCATATAGAAGATTTGCTTGTTTACTTATTCTTGTATCTAAGTTATAATTTGTGATAAAGAAATCGATTTTATAATGTTGTTTAAAATTTAAACAACGAAATTCTGTAAAGTAAATTCATACACAGTAAGCACCACCCTGCCTTATACGCGCGTTTTGATTCAGTGAAAATGTGCTTGTCCGGTAAACGGAAACTTCGTTTATGGTTGACACACCTTGATTACCTCCCTTGTGTCGTAAAATGAGTCACACCTGAGGAATGCAAGTCAAGTTGTGCTGTCATTCACAAATATATGAACAAATAATACTTATTATTATATAAATATACATTTACACATTTATCAAACCAATCTAAGCCCTTTCTTATGCAATGAAATCCGTGATTGATTACAGGTGACAATTTACCTGTGACACACCTGCCTCGTTTTCATCTGACCTCATTCAGCAGCCATTTTAAGCGACCGAAATGGCGCTGTTGAAGTGGTCGGGCACCTCTTGTTTTATAGTTGTCCTAATTGGTTTGTTCTGCATACAATCAGGTAAAATTACTTTTCATTAACCACGTATTACCTTTTTGACAGGTAAATATCGCACATCGCGTTTGATGTCTCGAATTATGTCAGATATTTCGTATGTACAGGCATTTCCGGATTCTGGTTTGATTCTCTAAAATGTTTTGCCCTCTCAAAATTTCCAAATTTTTTACGACCAGAGGGTTCGTTACCAAGGAAAGAGCTCCAGGATATAAGTCAAATCAGCAAATGTCTATTTTGTTTGATTACACACCCTGATTTGATCATTATTAATGAAACGCGTTTGTCAGTTTCAACAAGACCCAACGACTTGAAACCTCGTGATTGTGAGGAGACTGTTACATGGTTTACCCTCCATTTTCGGGAACCAACTGATAGTTGTTGGAGCAGGATCTCTAAGGAACTGCTAATCTATGAGAAACAGCTTGTGCAGAGTCTTTTAAACCATAAAGATAATGCTACAAGTGATGGGATTTAAACATGTTAAAAGTCACTAAGCTCTCCCTAAATTCAAGCTTTATTTTTGCTGTCTTTCCACAAATGATTTGTGTTAATGACACATCTGTTTGTTAACTCAGAATTACTCAGTTATTATAAACTAAGGGCGTACTAACAGTCAATTTCTGTCAATTTCAATAAGCACCAGATAAGAAGTTGAACATCAACCTTGCATTGTCAGAATGATGCTTAGCAAGACTAACATTTTAATCCAATTAGATAACATTTTATGACCAGCTAACGAGAGGACAATTAGCACAATCATAAATAAAATGTGCTCGTTTTCCTAATGATGAGCACTTCATTATTTACTTTGATACTGATTGGCTGCAGCCAAACTTCCTGGCAACTCAAAACCTGTTATACTGATCAGAATGCTAAGGTTTCCCCCAAATTACATCCTAAACATTTGATATTTAGTTATAGATAGCTTTAGTGGGATAGCTGATAACTCAGAACTAAGCCTTATTTTCATGTATGGGTGACCCCATAAGGATTTAGTGATTGCCTTTTTTCACTCATCCTCTTTGTAGCTTGGCCTCATTGAAAAAGACAAAACAGTTTACTATTGGTACATTGGGATTTCAAAATTGAAATACAAAGATTAGTAGAGAAATGTGTAAATACCGAACTGACCTGAGAACATCTGGATTAGTCATCAGCAACCCATGCTTGTCGTAAGAAGTTGCTATCAGGGCCCCGTTCCTCAAAGCGATCGTAGCGCTAAGGTGATCGTAACTCCCATACTTTAACATAGACTTACGACTGTCGTAGCGCTACGATCGCTTTGAGGAACGGGGCCCTGGATTGGATAGTCAGACTCACTGACTTGGTTGACACATGTCTTCATTTCCAAGTTGCTTTGATCAATGCTCTTGTCAATCACAAGCTTGTCTGGTCCAGACTTGATTACAGACTGCCATCATATAGCTGGAAAAACGCCTTGCTGGGAGAGTGGGATGAAATTAAACAACATTGGATGTTTAATTAGGAGAATGCCTCATCAAATGTAGAATTGTCTTGAGAATGAACGCAAATTCACACAGTATTAATGAGTTTGACTTTTCATTGACATGATTCCCTGTGAACCAAACCCACTCACAATACAATGTTGTTTCTGCTCCAGCGTCAACACAATGTGTCATTCCATCCATATTCAAGGGGGACTGGTACTCCATGGAAGCCGGACGTGATATCACGACGGTGGTCAACGAACAGAAGTGGGGAGAGATGACCTGCTCGGACCTCTACATCCATAACAACACCTTCAAGCTAGAGGGCACCAACGCCACCATGCTCCTGAGGAGACCCAACACGTATGTAGCCATTTCCTCTTTTCATCGGTCCCTGTCATGATATTGCTGGTATGCTGCCAAAAACAACGTAAAACCTTACTCACTCACTCTTACTTTTCATTAGTGTAGAATCGATAACCTTTGATAGATACCATATTTATAAAATATATCGCATTCACCTCGTAGTATATTCGTTGCAGCCTTACTTAACAGATACACTGTTTTGTAGGGGAACGGTGGGGTGGCCTTGTGGTTAAGAGTTTACTCGTCACCCCGAAGACCCGGGTTCAATTGCCACATGGGTACAATGTGTGAAGCCGATTAACATGGTTAATGGTGTCCCTTGTCGGGATATTGCTGGAATATTGCAAAAAGCGGCGTAAAACTCACTCACTTTTGTATAGGTTTGGTAGCCTATGAATATTAACCTAACTAACATGCTTTATTTGTATTTCAGTAATCAGAACAGCTTGTGCCTCGTGTGTGTGGATATATTGTACAGAACAAAGAACATTCTTCAGTACCGACAGAGTAAGAACCAATTTGTTGTCTCTAGCGCCATGTTTGATATTGTTGAATCTGACTGAATGAAGCAACTTTTTTATGTTTTGAAATGTAGCACTGTTGGTTTCAATAGCCTTCAGATTTTGAAGATTATATTGTGTCATTGATCCTGAAATAGAATACAAAATACTGTATTGCTTTAAATAAAACCTGAGGTAAAATATTGAAAAAAACACAATAAACAATTTCTACCAAAACAGAAGACACAACAGTAGTCTCATTTACCATGATTTATTATAATATTACAAGACAAGTTGAGACTTTGTAAATCTGAATTTGAAAACTTATGTATATTTGTTTTATAACTGATAAGTGAATTATTTTATTTTCGTTTGGGCTTTGGTTAAAGCTCTTAGCTGTATTTCTCTGAAATGTCAAAGAGGATGTACATGCTATGTCAAGTCTGGAGCAAACAGTGGTTAATATTATGAACACAACTCCCCTGGGCATGCTGACACAGAATAAAGCAAATCGCTTACTCTGAGCATTCACTGATTGTAATTCAAGTTATCTCTCACACCATGTGGAAAGTCATACATGAAGCTAGTTTTCATTTCAATTGTGTATTTACTTGAGACCAGTTGCGCTTAATTAGATAAATTCATGAACAATGATGCAAAAGCAGTCTAAAAACTACAATGATACACATGATACAACAGCAATACAACAATGATACAACATTGATTTAACAATTATACAACAGCAATACAACAATGATACAACATTGATTTAGCAATGATACAACTGTGATATAACAGCAATACAACAATAATACAACAACAATACAACAATGGTGCAACAATAATACAACAATGATACAACCATGATATAACAGCAATACAACAATGATGCAACAATAATACAACAGCAATACAACAAAAAATGGAACATTGATTTAACAATGATACAACCGTGATATAACCACTACAACAATAATGCAGTAATAATACAACAATGATACAACAATAATGCAGCATTAATTTAACAATGATACAAGCTCGGTACAACAACGATGCAACATTGATTTACCAATTTTACAACAGCAGTACAACAATGATATAAGTGATACTACTACAATGATACAACATTGATTTTCAATGATACAACAGCAATGAATTAAATGATACAATCTGTTTCTTGCAGGTGACTGTTTCACAAGTGACAATGGTTTTGAAAACATGTGCACAGGCATCAGACAGCTCCCTGCCGTGGACCAAGTCATCACTATGTTCAGTGAGTATTTGTGAATTGCCAAATTTGAGTATTTTAATCTCCTGTACATAGTCCTGCCAATGTGTAATGATGTTGCTGCACATCATTGGCTTTGGTCATGAACTTGACCAGTGAAGATCCGGATAAGAACTGATCTTCAGTAACCCATGCTTGTCGTAAGAGGCGACTAAAGGGATCGAGTGGTCAGGCTCGCTGACTTGGTTGACACATGTCATTGTATCCTAATTTTGTAGATTGATGCTCATGCTGTTGATCACTGGATTGTCTGGTCCAGTCTCGGTTGTTTACAGACCACGGACATGTAGCTGTAACATTGTTAATATAGGGAAATATGAGTGAATCTGACAGAAATCAACACATTTCACATGAGTTGTGAGTGGGTTACCAACAAAACTCGTCCTGAACGTACTTTGGGAGCAGCCCATGATTAAAGACTTAACTTTGTGTATATTCTGACAAAGGGGCGGTGGGGTAGTCTAGTAGTTAAAGCGTTGGCTCGTCACGCCGAAGACCCGGGTTCGAATCCCCACATGGGTACAATGAGTGAAGCCCATGTCTGGTGTCCCCCGCCGCGATATTGCTGGAATATTGCTAAAAGCGGCGTAAAACCAAACTCAGTCAGTCAGTCCTGGATCACAATCCAGACACTGCCAGGTTGTCCCCCTTGATGACCTTCACCCACAGGATAATGACCTGGACTCACAGCCTGATTGTCTCCCCTGTCTGTAACACTTTATTTTTTTCTGCAGGAATGACTATCCAAACCGTCAACTGTATCGACACATGGGAGGGTGTCTTCCAGTTCACATACGAAGTCAACTGGGGCGGTGGCGGTATCTGTGACACACCCGGCAGCACCATCCAGGCCTGTCAGGACCCTGGTTCCGCCTACGTGGACAACGAGGTGTTCCTAATGTACTACGACAAGTGTAGAGCGGTGTCCACATCCTTCTCACAGAGTGAGTCTTTCAGTTTTCTTTTGTTGGAGTAACCCGTGAAGGTCCGGGGTTAGAATTGATCTTCACTAACCCATGCTTGTCGTAAGAGGCGTCTAACGGGATCGGGTGGTCAGGCTCGCTGATTTGGTTGACACATGTCATCGGTTCCCAATTGCGCAGATCGATGCTCATGCTGTTGATCACTGGACTGTCTGGTCCAAACTTATTTACAGACTGCTGCCATATATAGCTGGAATATTGCTGAGTGTGGCGTAAAAATAAACTCACTCACACACGTTTGTTGGATTATGCATACACCTGTCAGCTGAGTGTACATCATCCGGTGTTTACATATTCTTCTCAGAAACCTGCACCATTGAAACCGAAACATCACACCATTGTTATGTCAATGATAACACCTCATTCTGTCATATGAGTTTTCAATCTTAATTTTCATCGTGGGGGGAGAGGTGGGGGGTAGGAGATGAATAATAAATTATGAACGGTCTGTGGTCAATGATAATACCTCATTCTGTCATATGAGTTTTCAATCTTAATTTTCATCGTTGGGGGAGAGGGGGGGTGGGGGATGAATAATAAATTTTGAACGGTCCCTAAAAGCTATGTTAGAGACATTGAAGAACTTATTACAGTGCCTGAATGCATTTTGTTTTTTGGGTTGTTTTTTGTTTGCTTGTCTTTTATGCCCAGCTGATTTTCTGTAATATGTTCACTGGGAGCGTACATTTTGACAATGCATATTGCAACTATAACTTTATGTTTAGAGACTGAGCATATTTTACAATATTTACTGGATGTACAGCATAATACAGATGTTACGTATATATTTGGTGTTAGTATGGGGCACTCATACCTGTTTAAAAGATGATTCACATATAGCTCTGAAATTTGTCTAGGGATCTATTTGGTAATATGTTGAATAAAGAAGCTGATTAAATGAAGCTGATGCCAGTGATAGAGTAGACAAAATTTCGGTTGTGTGTCATGTTTTTGTTAAGAGGAGTAGAGACAGCTTTAAACACAATTCAGTCGCCAAGAAGAATGTCTATGTTTCCATTGACGAGTGTGACCTATTGGTTTCAGCTGTCCGGTACCAATGTATGGGGAGCTGGTTCGCTATGATTGGGAACACCGGTTACACCTTCGCCGCCATCGCTGACACAGTTGAGAAGGACCGAAGAGAGAGATTTAAGTGCTTGGTAAGTGCTTAACTTAAAACCTGTCTTGAACACAGGGATGTATCTACATATTATCAGAGATGGATATTCTACCCCAAATCCACATCCGTTGACAATAACATTTCCAGAGTGTAAACATTCCCAATTGTGTTATTGATGCAACCACTTTGGACAGGTAATGTATTGTCCTATTGAAGGACTAGCTTGATGAGGCAAACTGTCATCTCGCCTTTTGTACATTAATGGAAAATTCAGGGTATTTCCATCTCCTTCAGATGACCTTGAAGAACCAGAAGTCAGCCGACAATACAATCAGATGGGTGATGTCCCGTTTTGCCGACTGCAGCAAGCTCAACAGCATCTACGACGGCCCCGTCAGGCTGGTGCTAAGAAGAAGTGAGTGAATCTCTTAGTACAACGTGCAATGTCCCATTTCTGATAGACATATGGGGGTCCTACCCATGTTTGCAATACTTTAATTTGTCAGTTGGTCATCAGGGCCTGCTGCCGCCTGCAGGCTTTAAAATCCGCAGGCCCTGAATGAAATCTGCAGGTCCATTTTGTTAAAGTCAAACCGATAAAAACAAAATCGACTACATTGTACACGGTTTCTGCAAAATCAATTAGCGAAGCCTATGACATGGAGAAACGTTTTATTTGTGAAAGACTGGTGTTGACATTCCTATGCAAAGTGCTGAAATACTTGGACGTGAAACTGTCTGGTATTTGTAACATGATTGATCATGTATGATTGCCTAACATTAATAAAGAAAACAAATTATGGGAAAGATTCCAGTTGAAAAAAACATTGACAGATAATTTACTGAAAGCCACAAGGGCCTGCAAATATCTGAAACAGCCGGCCCGATACAATAACAACCGGCGCTGGGCCTCCTGGTCGGCTATGAGTTCGAATACTGGGTCCTACAGTGAATCTTCCCAGAGGCCCAGATAAGCTGCGTATCCGGGTAAAATCCGCATAGAAAATGTCCAATTACGCACTGAAAAATAATTGTGGTGTACCAATTACGCATTTAAAATGTTAGATACGCAAAAAGTTTAAAACAAATGCGTACGGAATATATTTATGAAAATCGCTTGCATAACGAAAAAAACATCGGTTGCTATCAAGTTGTACTGTTAGTATAGGACTAGTGTTGTACTGTCAGTATAGGATGAGTGATTTTTTATGAAATCATTTCCATTATATTTAACTTGGTTTTGATTAGGTATGACATGAGGCAGAACATACCTGCTTAGTAAACTTACTCAATGACATAATACTTAGGTGAGTAATATGACTGAAATACGCACATATTTGAAAGCAGTGGGTAACGGAAAATGAAATACCCACTCAACATTCATAATACCCACTCCCAAAAAATACAGTGGGTACAGTACCCACATGAGCTAAATCTTATCTGGAGCTCTGTCTTCCAGCCCTTATGACCTATATGATGTACCTTCTTTCCAGTCCCGCCTCAGACACAGTACATGACATCACAGTGCAACCTCCCCAGAAACATCTCAGGACTGTGGTTCACACAGGGACTTCAGTTCCGTTCTGATGTCACCGTCAACGACACACACGTCTACTACATGACCCGCAAGAATGAGTTTGAGTTTGAGGAGACGTATCTGTCATGCCAACAGACGCTTGGAACCCGGTTCCTCATGACCAAGGTCATCGTCGGGAAATGGTATGCTCATTAGAAATATTGGTTTTGGTTAAGTCAGTGTTCAGAATATAACATCGGAATATTACCTTGCTGAGCCTGACTGTGGGACACTGTCAAATCTTAAACCGGTGATAGTTTCGCTGATTTTTGTTTTGTAATTCACCTAGTATAAGAATTTTATTGATAAGTTATGTATGGTCTAACCATGGAGTTATGTACAGTATAGCCACAGGGTTATGGAGATATGTACAATATAAACATGGAGTTAGGTAGAGTAGAGGTATTTGAGGGTAACCACAGGGTTATGGAGTTGTGTACAATATAAACATGGAGTTAGGTAGAGTAGAGGTATTTGAGGGTAACCACAGGGTTATGGAGTTGTGTACAATATAAACATGGAGTTAGGTAGAGTAGAGGTATTTGAGGGTAACCACAGGGTTATGGAGTTGTGTACAATATAAACATGGAGTTATGTGCAGTAGAGTTATTTGAGGGTAACCACAGGGTTATGGAGTTGTGTACAATATAAACATAGAGTTAGGTAGAGTAGAGGTATTTGAGGGTAACCACAGGGTTATGGAGTTGTGTACAATATAAACCTGGAGTTATGTGCAGTAGAGTTATTTGAGGGTAACCACAGGGTTATGGAGTTGTGTACAATATAAACATGGAGTTAGGTACAGTAGAGGTATTTGAGGGTAACCACAGGGTTATGGAGATATGTACAATATAAACATGGAGTTAGGTACAGTAGAGGTATTTGAGGGTAACCACAGGGTTATGGAGTTGTGTACAATATAAACCTGGAGTTATGTGCAGTAGAGTTATTTGAGGGTAACCACAGGGTTATGGAGTTGTGTACAATATAAACATAGAGTTAGGTAGAGTAGAGGTATTTGAGGGTAACCACAGGGTTATGGAGTTGTGTACAATATAAACATGGAGTTAGGTACAGTAGAGGTATTTGAGGGTAACCACAGGGTTATGGAGATATGTACAATATAAACATGGAGTTAGGTACAGTAGAGGTATTTGAGGGTAACCACAGGGTTATGGAGTTGTGTACAATATAAACATGGAGTTAGGTACAGTAGAGGTATTTGAGGGTAACCACAGGGTTATGGAGTTGTGTACAATATAAACATAGAGTTATGTGCAGTAGAGGTATTTGAGGGTAGCCACAGGGTTATGGAGTTGTGTACAATATAAACATGGAGTTAGGTACAGTAGAGGTATTTGAGGGTAACCACAGGGTTATGGAGATCTGTAAAGTATAAACCTGGAGTTATGTGCAGTAGAGTTATTTGAGGGTAACCACAGGGTTATGGAGTTGTGTACAATATAAACATGGAGTTAGGTACAGTAGAGGTATTTGAGGGTAACCACAGGGTTATGGAGATATGTAAGTATAAACCTGGAGTTATGTGCAGTAGAGTTATTTGAGGGTAACCACAGGGTTATGGAGTTGTGTACAATATAAACATGGAGTTAGGTACAGTAGAGGTATTTGAGGGTAACCACAGGGTTATGGAGTTGTGTACAATATAAACATAGAGTTATGTGCAGTAGAGGTATTTGAGGGTAGCCACAGGGTTATGGAGTTGTGTACAATATAAACATGGAGTTAGGTACAGTAGAGGTATTTGAGGGTAACCACAGGGTTATGGAGATCTGTAAAGTATAAACCTGGAGTTATGTGCAGTAGAGTTATTTGAGGGTAACCACAGGGTTATGGAGTTGTGTACAATATAAACATGGAGTTAGGTACAGTAGAGGTATTTGAGGGTAGCCACAGGGTTATGGAGTTGTGTACAATATAAACATGGAGTTAGGTACAGTAGAGGTATTTGAGGGTAACCACAGGGTTATGGAGATCTGTAAAGTATAAACCTGGAGTTATGTGCAGTAGAGGTATTTGAGGGTAACCACAGGGTTATGGAGATATGCAAGTATAAACCTGGAGTTATGTGCAGTAGAGTTATTTGAGGGTAACCACAGGGTTATGGGGTTGTGTACAATTTAACCTGGAGTTAGGTACAGTAGAGTTATTTGAGGGTAACCACAGGGTTATGGAGTTGTGTACAATATAAACATGGAGTTAGGTACAGTAGAGGTATTTGAGGGTAACCACAGGGTTATGGAGATATGTAAGTATAAACCTGGAGTTATGTGCAGTAGAGTTATTTGAGGGTAACCACAGGGTTATGGAGTTGTGTACAATATAAACATGGAGTTAGGTACAGTAGAGGTATTTGAGGGTAACCACAGGGTTATGGAGATCTGTAAAGTATAAACCTGGAGTTATGTGCAGTAGAGGTATTTGAGGGTAACCACAGGGTTATGGAGATATGCAAGTATAAACCTGGAGTTATGTGCAGTAGAGTTATTTGAGGGTAACCACAGGGTTATGGGGTTGTGTACAATTTAACCTGGAGTTAGGTACAGTAGAGTTATTTGAGGGTAACCACAGGGTTATGGAGTTGTGTACAATATAAACATGGAGTTAGGTACAGTAGAGGTATTTGAGGGTAACCACAGGGTTATGGAGATATGTAAGTATAAACCTGGAGTTATGTGCAGTAGAGTTATTTGAGGGTAACCACAGGGTTATGGAGTTGTGTACAATATAAACATGGAGTTAGGTACAGTAGAGGTATTTGAGGGTAACCACAGGGTTATGGAGTTGTGTACAATATAAACATAGAGTTATGTGCAGTAGAGGTATTTGAGGGTAGCCACAGGGTTATGGAGTTGTGTACAATATAAACATGGAGTTAGGTACAGTAGAGGTATTTGAGGGTAACCACAGGGTTATGGAGATCTGTAAAGTATAAACCTGGAGTTATGTGCAGTAGAGTTATTTGAGGGTAACCACAGGGTTATGGAGTTGTGTACAATATAAACATGGAGTTAGGTACAGTAGAGGTATTTGAGGGTAACCACAGGGTTATGGAGATATGCAAGTATAAACCTGGAGTTATGTGCAGTAGAGTTATTTGAGGGTAACCACAGGGTTATGGGGTTGTGTACAATTTAACCTGGAGTTAGGTACAGTAGAGTTATTTGAGGGTAACCACAGGGTTATGGAGTTGTGTACAATATAAACATAGAGTTAGGTACAGTAGAGGTATTTGAGGGTAACCATAGGATTATGGAGTTGTGTACAATATAAACATAGAGTTAGGTACAGTAGAGGTATTTGAGGGTAACCACAGGGTTATGGAGTTGTGTACAATATAAACATGGAGTTATGTGCAGTAGAGGTATTTGAGGGTAACCATAGGATTATGGAGTTGTGTACAATATAAACATGGAGTTAGGTACAGTAGAGGTATTTGAGGGTAACCATAGGATTATGGAGTTGTGTACAATATAAACATGGAGTTAGGTACAGTAGAGGTATTTGAGGGTAACCACAGGGTTATGGAGATATGTAAAGTATAAACCTGGAGTTATGTGCAGTAGAGAGTTATTTGAGGGTAACCACAGGGTTATGGAGTTGTGTACAATATAAACCTGGAGTTAGATACAGTAGAGTTATTTGAGGGTAACCACAGGGTTATGGAGATATGTAAGTATAAACCTGGAGTTATGTGCAGTAGAGTTATTTGAGGGTAACCACAGGGTTATGGGGTTGTGTACAATATAAACATGGAGTTAGGTAGAGTAGAGGTATTTGAGGGTAACCATAGGATTATGGAGTTGTGTACAATATAAACATAGAGTTAGGTACAGTAGAGGTATTTGAGGGTAACCACAGGGTTATGGAGTTGTGTACAATATAAACATGGAGTTAGGTACAGTAGAGGTATTTGAGGGTAACCACAGGGTTATGGAGATATGTAAGTATAAACCTGGAGTTATGTGCAGTAGAGTTATTTGAGGGTAACCACAGGGTTATGGAGTTGTGTACAATATAAACATGGAGTTAGGTACAGTAGAGGTATTTGAGGGTAACCACAGGGTTATGGAGTTGTGTACAATATAAACATAGAGTTATGTGCAGTAGAGGTATTTGAGGGTAGCCACAGGGTTATGGAGTTGTGTACAATATAAACATGGAGTTAGGTACAGTAGAGGTATTTGAGGGTAACCACAGGGTTATGGAGATCTGTAAAGTATAAACCTGGAGTTATGTGCAGTAGAGTTATTTGAGGGTAACCACAGGGTTATGGAGTTGTGTACAATATAAACATGGAGTTAGGTACAGTAGAGGTATTTGAGGGTAACCACAGGGTTATGGAGATATGCAAGTATAAACCTGGAGTTATGTGCAGTAGAGTTATTTGAGGGTAACCACAGGGTTATGGGGTTGTGTACAATTTAACCTGGAGTTAGGTACAGTAGAGTTATTTGAGGGTAACCACAGGGTTATGGAGTTGTGTACAATATAAACATAGAGTTAGGTACAGTAGAGGTATTTGAGGGTAACCATAGGATTATGGAGTTGTGTACAATATAAACATAGAGTTAGGTACAGTAGAGGTATTTGAGGGTAACCACAGGGTTATGGAGTTGTGTACAATATAAACATGGAGTTATGTGCAGTAGAGGTATTTGAGGGTAACCATAGGATTATGGAGTTGTGTACAATATAAACATGGAGTTAGGTACAGTAGAGGTATTTGAGGGTAACCATAGGATTATGGAGTTGTGTACAATATAAACATGGAGTTAGGTACAGTAGAGGTATTTGAGGGTAACCACAGGGTTATGGAGATATGTAAAGTATAAACCTGGAGTTATGTGCAGTAGAGTTATTTGAGGGTAACCACAGGGTTATGGAGTTGTGTACAATATAAACCTGGAGTTAGATACAGTAGAGTTATTTGAGGGTAACCACAGGGTTATGGAGATATGTAAGTATAAACCTGGAGTTATGTGCAGTAGAGTTATTTGAGGGTAACCACAGGGTTATGGGGTTGTGTACAATATAAACATGGAGTTAGGTAGAGTAGAGGTATTTGAGGGTAACCATAGGATTATGGAGTTGTGTACAATATAAACATAGAGTTAGGTACAGTAGAGGTATTTGAGGGTAACCACAGGGTTATGGAGTTGTGTACAATATAAACATAGAGTTAGGTACAGTAGAGGTATTTGAGGGTAACCACAGGGTTATGGAGTTGTGTACAATATGACCGGTGTCAGGTTTCTGTTGAATTGTTTCACTCCCCAAGTTTCCTATCCGAGCTCTAATACCTTTCACAGCTAGGCAGCGTAATATTCATTGACTGTATAAAGAATCTCTTTACTCAGTTAGTGTACCATGTATCTTCAAAGTTTCAAACTTGGCAGACCCATGCAATGTTTGTTTGACATCTGTATCTTTTGCCTTCAGTGAGGTGGACTTTGTCTGTTACGACATTCTCCCTCGTCACCACGGCATCGTGCGCTACCGTGTGGGTAAGTGAATTAGCGATGCTTAACATCAGTGAGTCGTAGGAAATGGAAATGTAAACGTACTTATTTTCGCGTGGTGCAATTTTCGTGGAATTGACAGTTTAGACTACATCGTGCGGTCAATTATTCGCGCAATCAGTAATTGCAGGAACTGCCAGCTGTCTCTTTGGCCGCCACTAATAGCAGTGAAAACAAACAGAGTGGCTTAACCTGTCAGGCGGCGTTTATTGCTTACTCACAGGAAATCCCTATCTGTGCGATATACTAGTACACAGTAATCCGTTTACTCACGGAAGAGATGAACAACACATCAGTCTTATGTTCCAAATTCTGACGATCTGACGAATTAACTTCTACTGTATATGAAGCTCTTTGTGATTTCAAACAAGCCGGGTTGTTGTGAATGAGATGATTGAGTGTTAAGTGACTATTAAGCTTCATGATGTACTGGTAAATAAAATCTTAATGAATAAATAAAATACTGCTGTATTATTTCTTTCCGAGTCGTTTCATGGTAATCTGTTTTGTATCAAACCATCTGTCATGTGACCAATTTCCATGGCAGCCACAACACATATTGCTGTTTTCGCTAATTCGTCGATGGGATTTGGCTCATTATTTAATCATGTTTTGGGCAATACATTACAGCGACAGTTAAGTATGATTCTTTATGCTACTATCAGTCGTCATTTTAAGATTCCCGTAGATTTCTGTCTTCAAACTTGATGTGTTATGGTAACAACTCAGGAGCGAGCGTGGCTAGACTGAATGAATGACAGGTTTATTCGCGGTGTATAAATTTTCGCGCTAAAATGTTTTGCGCGAAAATAAAACCTGCGCGAAATATAATACGTTTACAGTATCTACAGTGATGGGTGGATGTCAGTTACCATTGTAACATGCTTAGCAGTAATTAGAGTTCATGATGAATTACAGACCAGCACAATGACTATTACGGTATCGTTATATCTGTTTAGGAATCCAAACCAAACACCTTTGGCAGGCAAACTGGGACAAATGTCATGATATTGTTTAAATATTCTGTTTGTCCTCATTTCTGAGAAGGTTTAGTGTCATTTGATGACCACTGGTGCCATATATAAGCTTTGAAGGATATATATAAATCAATGTCAGCATATATAAAGTTGTCTGTGATTTTAAGATTTGGAGTCAAAGGTTTCCTAGTACTAATGCTGTAGACTTTGACCACACAAGTCTGACCCAGGGGTGGAAATAACCCATTACCCGACACCCGAGTCCAGTGTTTTTATCTGTCGGGCAAGCAAATTTTTATATCACACTGTACCGGTGTCCAGTTGATATTCCAATATTAATTATGTTGTTTATTTAAAAAATCAACAAGAAAACGGCCGGTATAGTGGAAAAATTTTCAGGGCAAGGGATTTTACATGGGCCACTGTACCAGAGTACACTAGCAATTTTGAAGTTATGTCCATCCCTGCTGACCTGATCTCTCTCCACTTGAACGGGGCGGTGGGGTGGCCTAGTGGTTAACGCGTTCGATTCCCCACATGGGTACAATGTGTGAAGCCCATTTCTGGTGTCCCACACTGTGATATTGCTGGAATATTGCTAAAAGCCGCACAAAAATTAACTCACTCACTCATTCTCCACTTCAACAGGAAAACCGTCCCGGTTAACAAAAGATGAGATGGCAAATCCCAACTACCTGGAACAGAAGTTCCGAGAGGCGTGCAGTTGGATGTCCTTCACCTTCAACCGAGATGACACAGACTGGAAGTATGAGGTTCTCATCTGTGAGTAACAACATCACTGACTTTCTTTCACACATTTGATAAAATAACTTGATTACTGCATATGTTCTAGGGGCTTCCTAGTTTATCTTTATGTTGACAGATTTGACCCCCCAATCTTAAAAAATATTGCTGAGTGCAGCGCTTTAAACAACCAACAAACCAACACTGGATTGTCTGGTCCAGGGGCCTGTTCCTCAAAGCGATTGTAGTGCTACAACAGTCGTAAGTCTATGTTAAAGTATGGGAGTTACGATCATCTTAGCACTACGATCGCTTTGAGGAACGGGACCCAGACCCGATTATTTACAGACCGCCACCATATAACTGGAATAGTGCTGAGTGCAGCGTTAAACAACAACCAAACCATAGCATCCCGGCTGACTTAAGACTATGTTTCAGTGAATCCACCCTCCCCTGTGGCCTGTCCAATTGCTGGCCGCTACAGGTTCGTCCAAAACGCCATGCACTGGATGGAGAAGTACGCCACCAGGATCCGCGGCGTGACTGACCGACCACGTGTCCAGGTCGACTGCCGGATCACGGTGTCCGAGTTCAAATCCTGCAGCCAGGACAAGTCTAAGATCGAGGTGGATGCGGAGTATTGCGAGTCTGTTGACTACCGAGGACGACCAATTGGAGAATACGGTGAGCTTGTTAATCTGCCCTGTCATTAGAAGGGTGACCTTTTGGGAATATCCTGCACTTGTTGAATCACGCTGTCAGTGGGGGGAACGGCCGTGTGGAGAATAGAGTTAGCATATTAAGTCACTCTGTCATTAGAAAGGTGACCTTTTGGGAATATCCTGCACTTGTTGAATCACTCTGTCAGTGGGGGAACGGCCATGTGGAGAATAGAGTTAGCTTGTTAAGTCACTCTGTCATTTGGTGGATGACCTTTGGTGAAGTTCCTGCAGTTGTTGAATGTTGTGCAGGTTGATGCTGATGTTGTGCAGGTTGATGCCGATCTTATGCAGTTTTAGCTGATGTTGTGCATCCTTCCTGTGTTGTGCAGATGAGGCCGACCACATCCTGACCTGTGTGGGCTTCTGGATGGAAGACATGAAGTCCTACCTCATCACCTACGACGAGGAGGATGCCATTTCAGAGTTCCGTTGCTGGGTAAGCACACTCCATCATGAACTTCTGGGTCCTCAACAGTGTAGTGTATTCCAGTTTGTCTCTGATGTTCATTAGTTGTTTTGTCATAAATTTTTTTAACATAATGCAAAATATAGATATTTCATTGGATAATGAATCAAAGCTAGATTACTGGTAAATGGATTAACACTTGTTGAACCCCTGTGGTGAATGATCATTAAGATAAAGAACAATTATGTCCTTGAACTTATCATGTACAATTTGACCGCCTCCGTGGTGTAGTGGTTAGAGCGTCCGCCCGGAGAGCGGAAGGTCGCGGGTTCAATCCCCGATCGCGTCATACCAAAAGACGTTAAAATATGGTACTTGTTGGTCCCTATCTGGCGCTCTGCATTAATGGGTACAACAAAGACTGGTCAGCTCGGAGTCAGTATAATGTGTCTGAGTGGGGTATATATGCTTCACTGCGGCATGGTTTCTCAGTGGGCTAGCCCTATAAAACCAGCTTCAGTCTGGGCTAGTACAAGCAGCCGCACATACACATACACATGCATGCACGTCGTTATATGAGCGAAATATTCTTAAGCACGAAGTTAAACCCAATTTCACCTCACCTCATCATGTACAATTTGTAATTGGGGACATAAACAGTCATTGTTTCACAGGGGTAAAATAATGTTAGTTTCAATCTGCAATAAATCCGTGACATTTCTTGTGTTATATTGGACGCATTGACTCTTCAGGTGTATGAGAGACTGAGCTGGACAGATATTGTGATGTCCCGAGCCCAGACTGCCCGCTGTCCGAGAGACCAGAAAGCCAGCAGTTACCAGCTGGAGGGGACTGGCCTCAGCATGGAGCTCTATGAGAACGAGAGACTCTGTGAGTACCGCAATAGCTGCCATGAGCACTTTATAACTCATTGGGGGCAGTGGGGTAGCCTAATGGTTAAAGCGTCGGCTCGTCACACTGACGACCCAGGTTCGAATCCCCACATGGGCACAATGTGTGAAGCCTTTTTATGGTCTCCCCCGCCGTGATATTGCTTGAATATTGCTAAAAGTGACGTAAAACCCAACTCACTCACTCACTCATAACTCATTGATACCAAAGTCCCAACTGCCATCAGTATTTAGAACTGATAATCATTGGAGATCGATACTAAATGACATCGGTACTCACTGGTCTGATTAATACTAAAACCCTTCAGTCAGGGACAGCATGAACAATACATGACAATAAATTTCTTGATTAGGTAATGTGGCTCTCATTGCTTCAACTGACCAATCAGCTTTTAGAATGGTGTAAAGCATATGTATAAATAGGAAGGTTATACCCTGTTATTGTCAGGCTTAGCTAGCCAACATCCGTCAGTCAAAGCTTTACAATGTTCATGTCATCGGTTCCCCTTTACGCAGATCGATGTCCATGCTGTTGATCACTGGAGTGTCTAGTCCAGACTTGATTATTTACAGACTGCTGCCATATAGCTGGAATATTGCTGAGTGCCGCGTAAAACTAAACTCACTCACTCACTCACTCACTATGTTCAATATGTTCAATGCAAACACTGAATCTGTGCTAAATATCATGACCAGTAGAAATCTGTCAGACTTGATCATCAGAAACCCATGCATGTTGTACCTCGCAAAACAGAATCAAGTGGTCAGGTTTGCTGCTTTGCTTGATGCAGGTCATCATATCCAAATTTGCTTAGACTGATGCTCATAATGTCAATCACTGGATTGTCTGGTCCAGATTCAATTAGTTACAAACCTCTGTCAAAAAGCTGGAATATTGCTAAGTGCATTGTCAAACCATAAACAAACAAACAACATACCAGACTTAATATCATGCTTGTCATTACTTGTTTCCAGATGACGACTGCCCACAGAGGTTTGACCCCGGCATTGACCCCTACAGGAAGCCGACGGTCATCTACGTGTTGAGCAGCGCCACCTATCCATCACTTAAATTCTCTCTCTTCATCTCTGTCCTGACTCTCACCTTGCTACAGAGGACATAACAATAAGATGGCAACAGTTCCTTCATTTGACAATTACTATGCAATTACTTTTTGTCCAGGAATTGTCATTAACCTTCATATGTAACTGATGACCTTGTTTACAACAGTTGCTTGCTTCGTGTACCCAATTGATCTAATTTGGGTGTTCTGAAAGGTTTTCTTGATGTTGGCAGAAATCTTTCACAGAATACCACTTGGGTATTCTTAAAACCATTCTCAAGGATATTGAATACTTGTTATCCGCATGGTATCAGAGTCAAGATGTCTCAGACTCAAATTCTTGATTATGGCAGATTTAAAATTTTGATACAGAGCAATAGTGTCATTTAGGAAAACTAGAAAAGTTTCCTGAATGAAAGCAGGTATTTTCACAATTTTGTCCTGTTGAAAGAAATCAAAGTGTCTTACAATGGTACATGAGGCTGGAGGGAAATACACTGTTAGATATTGATGTAATATAGTTTGAATAATGTGCTGACAAATATAAGATCCAGATGGGATGCAGTTACCTTGGTTACAAGATGCCTTACAGGATGAATTCAATGTTTAAAAATGTGTTTGACAATTAAAATTCAACCCACGTCAAATGAAATCATCTCAAACCTTGAAAATGTATGATTTCCTTTATCTTTGACAAGTGCTAATACTCTAAATCTTAGTCTGAATTAATAAAGAAATACATTTTAATACTGGTGTATACTTTTTGGAATGTAAGTTCATTTTGGGCTCTAGTAAGTTACAAGGCTCAGGTCTTGCTGACAAAAGTATTTTCAAGAATTAGTTCACTTTGGGAAAAGATATGGATGTTCTTATGAGTAGCTCAATCATTAAAGTTTTCATTATGTTGGTGTTATGCCAGTTGATGTAGGTTGTTCATTTGTACATATATCATATGGCAACAGTCGGCTCCGGCTAACTCTGCCACTTCCTGATTAAAACTGTAAATATATGTAAATACTGTAAATATGGTATTGTTTTATAGATCAAATACAAAAAACATTGATTTTATATCGATTTATTACATATCTCAAAAACGTTTTTATACAATGATTATGATACTACAATAATGATGGTTTTAATACTGCTTTACATTGATTGCAATAGTGTGCAGTGATGTAATACTGCTTTACATTGATTGTAATACTAGTTTACAATGATTCTGTGAAGCAATGAAAATTCAGCAAGAGTGAGGATTCATTCATTGAACGGTAAAGTCATAGATAATTGTTTTGCTTGTACTATCCAACATTATCCACTTGTTATTGATACAGCTACGATTTCGCAGTGAAATTCTCATGTGTTTTTCACTCTTTAGTCAGTTCTTTTGTGTTTTTCCATATTTTGTACCTACTTAAAATTATATCACAAACAAATCATTGAACATTGGCATTTATAGACAAGTTTTCTCATTTAAACTTTAAATAATTCATCACATTTAAACAAAAAAAATTCAAATTAAGTAAAAAGGAAAGTAACTGACTCAGTCATTTATACCACATCTATTTCTTTTGTGTATATTCTTAAGTCATATGGTGTCCCTGCCGTGATGTTGCTGGAATATTGCTAAAAGCGGCGTAAAACTAAACTCAGTCAGTCAGTCTTAGACTCCGTAATGGACAAATAGTATGTTATTTACTCCTTTCAATGATTGATGGTGGCATGGATGTTCTGGCATAAGAATGTGTAATATATCTTGTGATTGCTTGTGTGAATGTGTTGAAATGTTAATGAAACACCCCTCTACATGGTGGTACTGCCACTGTACCACCTCTAGGGTGTTGTATCTTTGGTTTGTTGAATATCAGTCACTTCACAATGAAGCAAAAAAATATACCCAGTAGATGTGTTTCTTGAAAAGGAAAACAAAACTCACTACATTTTTTGGATGTTGGAAATAGAAATATATTATTTTTTGCAGCTAATCAGTTCGATCTGAGTCCTTGGATTTAAACATGTTTTCTTTGTTCTACCAGGATATCTCTGTGCATGAAAAGGGGAATGATATACCTCTGCTCTTTTTAATGTTAGTGTTTTTTTAAATCATTCTTTCTCTGCATAAGAACTGTATCAAGGAACATCTGTGGCCGTGATGGTAATGTTGATCTGTTTTAGAAGTATTTTTCTATGAATAACATTTTATATGCCAGTTAATCAGTTATTTGTAATAAAATGTAAATCAAAGAACTGTTTGGTTTTGTGATTTATTTAAACAATTTGATCATCCACTGAAAAAAGTTGAACATCACCTTATTCTTCCATATTTCAAATAATATTATAGGTGATTCTCAACTTTTTTTAATAGTATATTTCTTTGGGTCATTTTTACCTTTTCAAGTTTCCTTTCCCCCAATTGTGAATGTAAATGTTGGCTTGAAGTTCTTTCACAATGTCGATTATCCTGGGTTATCTCCCTTCCTCCAGGCAACTTCTATTCCCTGAGAAACTTTGCAAATGCCACTGAACACCAGCCTGGTTCCCGTGTAGCTTCGACACTGATGGTGAAACCCGGATGTTTCCGTGGGTTTCAGCTGTTATGCTGTTATTACTGGAGGTTGTTTCTAATCAGATAATTTGGAGCTAAGCGTCTCAGTAACTATGGTAAAAATTCACTGAGAACAGAACAGGATTTGATCTCTTTCGAACCGGTCTCAAATTCACGAAAGGAAATTCAGGCAGTACCGGCCACCTTGCGTGGTGCTGAAGTACAGTGTTTGTCATGAATATCAAAAGTCGGTGGTTCGATCCCCGGAAACGTCAGACCAATAGACGTTATGTATGTCTGACGAACGACATTAATTAGACCAGGAGTGGGCGACTCGGAATCAGGATACTGCAGTACAGTGTGTGTGTGTGTGAGAAGGTTGGGTAGACGAGCTTCAACTGCGGCTATTTCGGTAGACTAGCGCTGTAAAACCCGCTTCAGTGCGGACTCGCATGCGCACGCACACATGTAAGCAAGTCGCTGTAATGGAAGCGCAATAACGCAACGTTAAAACTCACCTCACCCATTTCGCCGTGATATTGCTGACATTTTGCTAAAAGCGGCGTACTCACTCCCTCACTCGCAGAGCATCTGGCGAAAAGCTGTTTATTGTGACCATAACCCTGTGCTCAGTATAATTGACCCAACTGTGTTATCTATAAGTAGCATTTCAGTTTTAAGAAATGACTATATTGCCAGCTCTACCGAATGATCTCCAAAAACTGTACGTCGTAGAAATTATACTGTAATGATAGTTAATTATGTCAACTTGACCTTTCCTTTTCCCATACGCTAAACTGACGCTAAACAGAGACGATAGAATTGGAAAATTGGAACTTAAACGGGGTTAAACCATTCTCAAAGCAAACTAGAAACAAGGTTTCTACTGGTTTTTGGTGTTGAAGCAAATAAGGCGTCATAATCTGCTGCTCAAAACTGAGTACCAGAAATCAACGAGCATGGATTCGAATCCCAGATTGGCCCTGATTTGTTTCCGGGTTTGTTAGCACCAGCATTGTTGGTAAGTCTGCGTTATTTAAAGGGACTTTACTCCGTATCTCCATGATTGTTGACGTGAGTGAGTGAGTTTAGTTTTACGCCGCTTTTAGCAATATTCCAGCCATATCACGGCGGGGGACACCAGAAATGGGCTTCACACATTGTGCCCATGTGGGGAATCGAGCCCGGGTCTTCGGCGTGACGAGCCAACGCTTTAACCACTAGGCTACCACACCGCCCCTTTGTTGACGTGAGCACTTACGAGGTATGTCCATTTGTATTTATCATATACGTGGTTCTGTTATCATCACGACAAACCACTCCAACGATTGTAGTATCACGATCTGATCAACATGCAAATCAGGTTGCCAAGTAGGAACACCTTTCAAGCTTCAGACAGGGATGCAATACCTTTTTCTCATTAAGCTAGTGAGTGTGTGGTTTTACGGCCTTTTTAGCAATATTCCAGCAATATCACGTCGGGGGACACCAGAAATGGGCTTCACACATTGTACCTATACTAGGAGTCGAACCCGTAGTGGTTAAAAGCCTTTACTATTCATGGCGAAGACCCGGGTTTGATTCCCCACATGGGTACAATGTGTGAAGCCTATTTCTAGTGTCTGCCGCCGTGATATTGCTGGAATATTGCTTAAAATCGGTGAAAAAACCCATACTTACTCACTCACTTCATATGTGTGATACTGTCCATCTGAATAATTACTTTCATACACGGTTTCTGATGACCCATGAAGATCCGCGTTAGAATTGATCTTCAGTAACCCATGCTTGTCATAAGAGGCGACTAACGGGATCAGGTGGTCAGGCTCGCTGTCTTTGTTGACACATGTCATCGTGTCCCATTTGCCTATAGGTCAATGCTTATGCTGTTGATCACAGGATTGTCTTATCCAGACTCGATTATTTACAGACCGTCGCCATAGAGCTGGAATATTGCTGAGTGCGTCAAACAAAAAAATCCATGAATTCAATAATGACATCATATTATAAAGAGATAATTACCGCCAAAGGTTTCTTAAAAAAACGTGAAAATCCGCGTTAGAATTGGTCTTCACTCTTCACTATACCATATACTTGTCGTAAAGGCGACTAACGGTATCGGGTGGTCAGGCTCGCTGACATGTCATTGTATCCCAATTGTGTAGATCGATGGTCGATGCTGTTGATCACTGGATTGTCTGATCTAGACTCGATTAATTACAGACCGCTGCCTTATTGCTGGAACACTGCTGAGTCCGAATATACAAAAACCAAAAAACAAAATCAGGTTAGAATAAGTTGTCCGCTTAATGGATCGGATGGTCACTCACATTTAAGGGTGTTTTATAAGTTGCGTGTCATGGTACACCAATAGCGTGTCGTTGCTCATAATATCAACCCTCTGTCTGCAGCAGAATCGATTATTCACAGATCGTCGTCATATAACTGGAATGTTCCTGAATTAAACAACAAACACACATGGTATACATGCTTTTAAAAAAGGCGTCATTTAAAAAAAGAAAACATGTGTCGGCAGAAATTCAGCCAGCCTCACTGAGGAAACGAACGTAACCGCTGTCTGGGCGAATTTCTTTGAGATGTCTGGACATTTTCTGTTGCCTACTACACAGCTCGATTTCTATTTGTCGTGAAACTGTTGGTGGCGACCTCACAAATCCCAGCTCCTTCCTGTACGTCGGAAATACTCTAACCGTTAGAAATTTACTTTCGCATAATATGCATGCTCTAATGCCACGGATTCATTTCTATAATGATGTCCCGAACAGGAGGTCTACGTTCAAATTCAAGAAGCACTTGCTATTTGCAAAAGGTTCAGTTATTTTCTAAAGACTGATCGACCAGCTTAATCTTTCTAAAATTGCTCAAAAAGCTTCCCAATTCTTAAAAATACGACAAGAGACGAGTTTCTTTCAGCTAAATTCAGCGTCTGTGACGTCAAATGCCGTATTTAAAATTCAGGAATTGAAAATTTGACACCTGCAGGGTAGAAAAATAGAAAGCTTTCTTCTTGTTGGATTTTATTTAGTTTTCGACCGATTAAACTTTGAATAAGGTTTAATTTAGCTGAATAGCGCTGGTACTCTATTCCGTGCGCGCCGTCCTGTGAGGAGAAAGGTGTGCAACCGACAGCCTGGCATGCGAAATGCACCTTGGCATTTGGGAAACAAACCAAGGTGTAGTTACATACACACAGGTACACTATCACCGGGCACCTGTCGCATTTGTAACGGCGATGTTCATTGGTTAGTTTCTGAAATATGCTAACGCGGAAGAAAATATACATATTTATTCTACGTCACGGACAGATACATCGTGATTCATACTTAAGTGTGAGTGGAGATAATTTGACACACAACTGACTTTTTTCTAAAACGCCGGTATTATTTTCAATTGATTTCACCACGTTGAAATGTCTTGTACATACCGCATATAATGTTGAAGACTAGCCAATCAAATACACTGACTTGAATGACATTGGAAAGTGATTCGACTTCAGTGTCACATACTGAAAGTTGATAATTGCCGTACCTGGCAGGTGAATTTGCCTTAATTAACCAAGGACAGGCATACCCCAGCGGGTGGGTAGGTGATTTTGAAAAGAGCGTGATTGTGTTGGCGCACCTGAGTTTATTATAGCTCTAGCCCCGCCCTACGGTGATCGACATACGTAACTTCCGTCTTACCTCAGGTCGGCCATATTCTTGAAGCGAGGATAGGTGACGACAATATCTACGACAACAGAACGGGATCGAGGAGACACAGACAAATATCGGAGTTTAGGTTCACAAAAGACTGTCAGAAATGCCTATATTTGGTAAGAAAAACAAAAGTAAGGAGAATTTGACACAAAATCAACAATCTCCGACCGATGAACCGCCCCGCCCTGCGGGTAGTCCCGAAACAAATGGAGGAGGTAAAGTGGCGAAGGACAACTCCCCTGCACAACCTCAACCTAGGCCCAAACTCGTGTTTCACTGTCAGCTAGCGCAGGGATCGCCTACTGGAATCATACAGGGATTTACCAATGTGAAAGAACTGTACGGGAAGATAGCAGAATGTTATGAGATGCCGGTGTCGGAAGTAAGTAAAATACCTGGTGTATATATCTTTATGTATACACTGTCGGTGATTATAGTCAACACAGGTAGGTACCGGTGAAATTATTTTAACGTGCCTTGATTGTAGTGTATATGTATAAGTTGATGGTCAGAGTGAGTATATGCCATGTGTGAACTTGAAAGCTGATGATTTGTAGACAGGTTAAATTCAGGTGACAGGTAAAGGTGTGTCATTGTCTTGGGTGGATATGGTGACACTATATATATAAATATATATGTTGATGATGTTCGTACACTTCCTAGCACACTGTAACCTCAGGTACCAATTTCCTTGATGTATAATATAACTCAACAGGTGTGTATTTATCAGACAATCCAGGTAACAAGGTAGCACATAATCCAGGTTCATCTCGTTACATCAGTACCTTAAATGATTTATGCAGGTGTTGATCTCTAAGTATCATATTTTGACTGTATAAAAGTAAAAGGCCAGGTGAGAAATCTACAAGCACAGGTAGACTGAATTCATCCAGGTAGATTTCTTACTCACTACTTCAAGGCTTTGTGTGGATTTTATTATCACAAATGGGAAAAATACAACTTATAATCAGAGGTGATTACAGTGTTTTTACCTGTTAATAGATGATATCGACACAGGGATAGTAAGTGTTGAACAGGTGCATACTGAATTTGTAGGGAAGATAATTCATTTCTCCTCCAGTCCTACGGAGTCTTGTCACATGTGTCCATAAAACTTAAACAATGTATGACAGTAAAAATGGTCTCATATAGGAGTAAATTTTCAAGTCACAAGGTCCTTGTAACTGTATTTGGGCTATGGGGTAGCCCAGTGGGTGCTGTGTTTGCTAGTAATGCCTACAGTCTGGGTTTGATTGCCCACATGGGTCAAATGCCTAAAGTCTATGTATGAACATGCCCGTGCATGAACATTGCCTAATGCTGTGTAAAACTCACTCTCTCGTGTTGCTCAAAATGTTAATCAATGTTTATCATTTATTGATCTGTAGATTCCATACTGTAAAACTATGCTCAACATGCTTAAAGGACCCAGCAGTTCTCGATCATTTCCAGCTCTTTTTTGGATATATTGTAGTGGTCATTATCGACCCTTCATCCAATAAATGTCCTGATACCTTTCACTGTCTTTGTTGTACCATAAGCTTTAGGATATTTAATATGCACAAATATGCATCAAAATGTTTTCCCTTCCTTTTTCTGACCAATTATGAGAGTTATAGGGAGATTAACAGGAAAATGCTTGTTTTAGTCTCTGGTACTCCACCCACTAAAATCACGAAAGCCCTGGTTGCTTTTCTGTTGCTAATATTGCATACAGCTTGATAGAATCCATAGTATTTTATCACGGTTTACAAGTGAAAATTAACTCTACGATTGACCTGTCCGTCACCTGAAAGTGTGTTTTAGCCCAATGTGTTCAGTATGAACAATAACAAGATTGGCTGCCCCAGTCACCTGGAGTGTCATAAGCTGCTGTGCAGAGTTGTGTCCCTTGATCATACCAGGCATCCATGATCCTGAGTTTGAATCTCATTTGCTTGTCAGTTTGTTGTTTAACGCTGCATCCGTCAATATTCCAGCTATATGATGCCAGTCTGTAAATAGTCGTGTCTGGACCCGACAATCCAGTGATCAATGTCATGAGCATCAACTTGACTTCGATTTGCCTCAGATGTTTGTTGGTTTGTCTGTGCCAGGCCCATGTTGATGGGTTTCACCAAAGTGGTGAATGTCCCTTTTGGCTTTCCTCCCAACTGAGGCTGACTATAGTCCGTTTGGCTCAAAAGCCGACCGATGAATTGCAATCTAACTCGAAAACTAATAAACATAAAATACTCAGTGAAACGCTGATCATAATCAAAACATCATACCAACTCTGTGAGGTTTTTGCAGAATTTTTGTCCTAAATAAAATAAAGTTGTTTAACAAACTATCATTAAAATGACACAGTTTACTGTTTGTTACGAGGGAGGAGTGCAGAGAAAGGGACAGCCAGGTGTTCGAGAAGCACACAGACAAAGTAATTTATTCATTAACCTGTGTTGTGCCGTCTCCATCCGTTCTTGAACACCTGGCTGTCCCTTTCTCTGCACTCCTCCCTCGTAACAAATAGCTCCAATATTGCAGAAATACTATTGAAAGTGGAGTTGTACCAAACTCACGCATGCATAAGTAGCTGATAGGAATATGGACAGTCTGGGCTGAGTTCATCATTGACCTTTCTCTGGATGAAGATAACTTGGGTATTGGGTGGATACAATGGCAGATAATGGTGTTATGTGAATCACTGAGGTCAAGATAGCAATCAAGGAAGGTCACCAAGTTTGGTCTGGGTGGGGAGTCATTGTAACTGATAATACAGTAGTAGTGCTGATTACAGTGTAAAAGTCCATTTGCTCAGTGTGGGCAATACTCTTAGCATGATCATCACCTTGTTTTATTATACACCACACTAAACTAAATTCTTGAAAAATCAGAACAGCGTTCATATAACTGAACCTAGGCAAGAGTGATTAAGTGAGTGAGTTTTGGTTTACTCTGCTTTGAGCAATATCACAGCATGGTAATCCTGGCAAGGTAATCCAGGCAAGTTACTCCGGGCAAGGTAATCCAGGCAAGGTAATCCAGGCAAGGTACTCCAGGCAAGAGAAACAACTGGTTGATACAAAGAACAACATCTTTCTAGTGGAGTTAAATCACACACAGTTAACCAAGTCAAATTTAGTCATGGCCATCTAATTCAATGGCCACTGACAACAAGCAGGGTCACCCTAGTTTTTAAAGCGATCGCTCGTCACACCGAAACCGCCTCCGTGGTGTAGTGGTTAGAGTGTCCGAACGGAGAGCAGAAGGTCGTGGGTTCGATCCCCGACCGCATCATACCAAAAGACGTTAAAATATGGTACTTGTTGGTCCCTGTCTGGCGCTCGGCATTAATGGGTACAACAAGGACTGGTCGGCTCAGAGTCAGTATAATGTGTCTGAGTTGGGTATTCATGCTCCACTGCGGCATGGTATCTCAGTGGGCTAGCACTATAAAACCAGCTTAAGTTTGGGCTAGTACAAGCAGCCGCACATACACATACACACGCATGCACGTCGTCATATGAGCGAAATATTCTCCAGCACGACGTTAAACCCAATTTCACCTCACCTCACCTCGTCACACCGAAAACCTGGCTACTTTCCCTTATAGGGCACAATGTGTGAAGCCCATTTCTGGTGTCCCCGCCATGATATTGCTGAAATATTGCCAAAGTGGGTTAAAATTAAAACTCACTCACTACAAGTAAAAGAAATTTGGGACTATTTTTACGTGGCCCTCAGATTGAACTAGGGACATAGCTGTAAACTCTTGATGCAGCATGAAGCTTTGACTGCCCGCTACCTTACTCGCTCACTCACTCACTCACCCTGCAGTTTCTCAGGGGTGGAAATAACTTTAAAATTGCTAGTGTACTCCGGAACAGTGGCACATGTAAAATCACCTGCCCTGATAATTTTTCCACTATACCGGCCTATACCTTGTTGATTTTTTAAAATAAACAACATTATTATTAATATTAACATTGGAAAGTCAACTGGACACCGGTACAGTGTGATATACAAATTTGCTTGCCCAACAGAAAAAAACACTGGACTCGGGTGTCGGGCAATGGGTTATTTCCACCCCTGGTTTCTGATCATCAGATAGTTTTATCAGCAGAATCAGTGTGTAGTACTTGACACCAGCATGTAGTCATGTCATGATCGCTGCCGGTATGCTGAATACTAAACATATGCGACATGGTAGACATGATTGGAATATGTCCAGCTTCACTTCTGGGCTTCTGAACAAGGAGTTTAGAATTTGGTTCTTAGAAAATTAAAGTTGGTGAATTACTTTCCATTTGGCATGAAACATTTTGCACCATAAATAGATGCTTAGTATGTGTATGTGTGTAGGGGGTGGGATATGAGGTGTTGGTGGAATAAGTTGGTGAGGAGTTATATCACAGACAACCAGTTGAGGCTGGAAGTTCAAACTGCAAAGTAGCAGTGTGTCTTCATTCTGAGTTTACATCCTAAGTTGGTGATAACAAGGGTCGGTGGGGTAGCCTTGTGGTTAAAGCATTGGTTCGTCATGCGGAAGACCTGAGTTGGATTCCCTACATGGGTAAAATATGTGAAGCCCATTTTTGATGACCTTTCCGCGATATTGCTGAAATATTCCAAAAAGTGGTGTAAAATCATAATCGCTCGCTCACTGGTGATAATGATAATTGGTTTAAGAAATACAAAGTACGTATCAGTTGTTGATTTTCAGTAAACTAACATTGAAATCCTCAGTTCTTGTAGGTTTGATCACTGATGTTTTTTCAAACCTAATGAAACATGTAAGTTATAACCTGTCATCAGCCTGATAACCTAAACATCTGGTGCACCATGCCTTGATATTGCTGGAATATTGCTAAAAGTGGCGTAAAACTAAACTTACTCACTCACTCACTACTTCTGGAGCCCCATGGACTCCAGATGTTTAGATCTATGTATAACCTTTAAGTCTGTATGTAGGTCATTGTATCTGCATATTTTCAAATCAGCAAGTAGATCTAGATATAGACTTCTATACTGCTGCCTGCTGCACAGGTTCATAAGATTACAGCAGTGTTGGAGATGTGAGCATCCTGAGGTTGTTGGCTGGTGTCCAATTTGTGCGTTGTTAACAATAAGCCTTTTATAAAACTAAAAAGCAGGTGAAACAGCATACTTAGTTTTTGATATTTGCAGCAATTTCTGGTCTTCAGCAACCCATGCTTGACTACTTGTTGTAAGAGATGACAAACAGAATCGGTTGTTCAGGTCACAAACTCGCCCAATGCATGGTCTGTTATCCCTGTTGTGGATATAGGTGCTCATGATGTCAATCACTGGATTGTCTTGTTCAGATTCATTTATTTACAGACTGTTGTCGTATAGCTGCAAAAAAAACATTCCTTAAAG